AGAAATGATCCCATAAGTACGCACATTTCTAGATCACATTCCAAGCCGGGGTGGACGTGTAGTTTTAAGTAGTGTAGGATATTTGGATCTTTAAAGAATCTTTAATGAGTATGGCACAAGCACATTTCATAACCGAAGCTATGCACAAATTAAATTTTAAAAATTTAATAGGCCTAACTATAGCCTATATATTGGATATAGGACAATTAATTGTGCCTACATCTGCTCTGTTAGGGGCCAACATAGGGTCTATTCGACCTATAGAGTGTTACTAATAGATCCAGTCAAACCTCCTACTCCTAGACATAACTAATTTTCTGGTATTTCATATTAAATATTATACCAGTAATAAAAATTGTACCCGTACCGGTATTCTTCGTGTAGACTCACTTTCACCCATTGTAGAGAGGTCTTAAAATGATGTCAAAGCTTGATAGGGTATCGTTTAGTGTTTTAAAAGCCCTATGATATATCACCTAGTCTAGAATTGTTCTGTCAGGAATAGCCCATGCAGAGAGGTGGCTGCATCAGGTGGCCATGTGAGAGATGGGGAGGGGCATATTGGCCCTACATTGATAATAACAGAATGTAATCCTGTTAAAGTTTAAGGCTAGTATTTTTTCCTCATCCTTGAGCGTGTCCCTTAGTCTACCCAGCTCTGGCATTAGCTGGTCAAAAGTAAAGCTGGCTGGTTATTGCGCTGGCCATACACTCAAACTTGTAAACGCTGCTTCAATTTCCCCATGGGTAGGCCAATATGATCTGAAGGGGAACTTTACTTCCCCAAGACTCGCAATGCATCCTACGACAAGCAAGTTTCCAACAAATTTTTTAATGCTTTTTTTTGTATTTAGACCCATAGTTACAACAGTGACAGTATGGCTTTTTGTTTTTAGACCCATAGTTACAACAGTGGGAGTATGGCTTTTTGTATTTAGACCCATAGTTACAACAGTGGCAGTATGGCTTTTTGTTTCAATTATCAACATTTTTTTGACAAGAGCTAAAATTGTTGATGTCAATGATATTGATATGTTTTAAGTACGGTACCGGTATCTTCATTTCATTGTCATCACTAAGTGTTATTTCAACTATTTCTGGAGCGGCATATTGTGTCCCTACTTATTATGATACTTATTAGAAAATAAAATGAAACAAATAAAACGTGACATATTTTTTCAGCTAAACATTAATACACAACTCTGTGATCTAAAATATTTGAATAAGTAAGTTATTAATAAGTATTTGTTTATTAGAGAAAAAACAAATGGATGTTAAAGTCTATGAGTGGAATTATACAAAGAAAATTAAACAGTCAAAAGAGCTAAAAGTATATCACAATGTACAGTTAGAACAGCTGTATCTGACTTAAACATGGTTTATGCGGCTGATCTGCATATTGCATGTCCATGTTGTTTACATTTTTTTAACGAAACTTGAATGAACATTCTAACAAAATAGATTGAAACTTGTAACATAAGTAACAAAACTATATGAAAATAACAATAAAACTATGTGAACAGAAAAAGAAAGCTATAGGAAGAATATTATTATAATATAACACTACGAAATAACCATTAAATATTTTGTTTTTAAATTTTATTTATAAAAATGAGGCTTCCCCGACGGGGAATCGAACCTATGTCTGCTGGGTGACGGTCGGAGATACTGACCACTACTCTACCGAGGAGATGTGTATAAAGAAACTTTGTACTTTATATTCATTAATTAATTTATCACATTCTGTGAATAACGTTTAGCGTTATCGGCAGACCGAAATCTGTGAATAACGGCGAGCGTTATCCGCACAGCTCTGTGAATAATCACTTCGTTTTTTTATCTACATTCAATATTCAAACATGCCTCCTTGTTCGTTGATGGAAGGAATTCCACCGAGGTCTGCAAAAGAAAATTTTCTCTTGTATCTGCAAAAAGCCTAGAAAAACATCTTAATAATTTCAATCATAATCCTGAATATACACAATTTCTTTTTAATATAAATTATTATTCACATTAGACATGACATTAGTGTCATTAGTGAAAATTAGTGTTGATTAAAACTAAAACTAATTTCGTTTTTATTTTATTAACTCTAATTAATCTATGTCATGACATTACCAGTACCAGTTAACAATATTTTAAGTTTAATGATTAAATACCTTATTTAATTTAAAAATACTATTTAAATTAACGTTTTAATTGCATTTGTTGTAATAGAAAAGTATTAGTTCATTAGTATTAATATTAAGCTTAACTACTAATAATTAGTAATACTACCGGTGCCGGTAGTCCGGTAGTTCTCGGATTTTTTTTATTTTTATTAAAAAAGCAATTTCCCATCAATTTAATATTCATAATTTCAATTTATTTGTAGCATCTTATCAATTTATATGATTTTTAATACGAACTTTTACTAATTTGCTTAGATTTATTCAGATATGTAAAGATTACAAGAGTATAAAACTATTACTGAATATTATTTAGAGCCGCTTACATCGCCCCGTTGGAGACAAAAAAATTTTTTTTCTTTCCGGTGATGGGGTGTTGATTTTACATGTGGAGAGCGATAACATTCTCTGGAACGGGTTAAAGTGACTATTTTAAAGTTATTAGTAATCCAAATTAGATGATAAATATGAGCTTTTGGGTTTTAATCATGTATGAATGCTCCAAAGAAGAATTTTTAAGACACTTTCAACTTACCGATCGTGAAAAAGTGACACAGAAAAAAAAACGGGGGTTCCCCTCGTTGGGTAAATTGTATGAGCGTCACCGTAAGACAAATATTTAATGTAATCCATAACAGAACAAATGTATAATTAGAAAACTGTGACGTAGAACGCAAAAATCCGAGTATACCACAGAGCCGATTATGAAATTATGGCTACAAAAGTTTTTCCGTGATTTTCCGACTGCGCAGAAGGGATGCGCGTGCGTCTTTTAAAATACCTAAATATAGGCCTATTGAAATAACTTGCTCAACAAAAGAATACTAAAAAAATAAAGGGAGTGAATCCAAAACAAAGTCGTCGTGGGCCGCTAAATCTGAAATAGCCAACTTGCTCTTACCAATTAAAGAGACTCAATGGAAGGTATCCGAAACTGAAATAAAAAATAAATTCAATCTATGCTTCTTATTTTAGCTGCAAAACTAGTCTAGTTGTTACGAAGAAAGGAAATATATTATTGTTTACACAAGAGAAACAAACCGGAAGTGGTAACAATGATTTCAGTACAACATAAAATTATCCAAAACAATGAAATTATGTACTATTTTAATAAATGATTTTTTTACGGTCGAAATTAAAAATTTCTTGCAATCTAAATTTAATTTAAATATTAAAATTCATTTTGTAATTATCTACGATTAACAAATAGGGCTAAATACTATATGATCCTTTTAATTTCTTTTTATGGTATTTAATTTTAATAGTTGCTCACTGTGTATCATCTATGTTTATTTCAGTTTTCTTAGTAAAGAGAGTTCTGCCACTGACATTGACAATTTTCTTTTCCACCAATAAACGTGTAACAATTTTGAAAGGGACTAAGTAATATTTAAATGATGATAGGTAAAAACTTTTCCGTAACCTTTCTCATATCGATTAATGCGTATTTTCCCCCAAATATTCTACCCCTTTTTTTATAGGCAGTGTCCAGTGTCTACACGTCCCGCGCCGGACGTCCGGACGTATAATGTCGTATATCATCCGCACTATTTGTCCGGCGACTAAGTCACATGACCGCCGTAACAAAATGGGGGGGAAAAAACGATCCTATACCAGGTATTGATCATCAAATCATAATAACGCCAAGCGACCACTCTACCACCAGACCACACAATATCTCCCAAATTAAAATTGCACTTCGACGACTTCGTTCGGAATAATAACTACTAGCTGTAACTAGCCGTCCGGCGGTTACCTGACATGTCGCCGGATGTATATCTCGCGCACTATTTGTCCAGCACGCCGGACGTGTAGACAATTACTTCAGTTAATTAAATTGACTTAATTAACCTTTAGTTTTTAAATTTTAAAAAAAATGAATTTAAAAAAAAAAATGAAGGATAAGTAATACCGGTAGTAGTTATAGCTTAATCCCACTGTCTTGAGTGCAGTGGACTAATACTAATTACTAATACAGTTCTCAGTTCAGTCTTAGTTATTAAAATCGACAGACAAAATCAATAATCAATACTTTATTACTTGTCCATTGAATTTGATAGGCCTATTGTATATTTTAAATTGACACTCAGTTGTAATCTACCACTTGAGCTTTGGTCATGAAAAAGTCCTGTTGTTCCAGTTGGAAGTGCTAATGCTTATTGTTTTATTGATGTCCATTCATTATTAGTANGATTCAACTCATGCAAATATGAAGGGAAAAGATTGGTGATTGTGTCAAATTGTCTCTTCGGTTTGCGCTTTGCGAGTAGCCACATATTTTCAAGAGTGACAACAGTGTGCCTATGGACACCAGACTCGTTTGAACTGACAAAATTTTCTTGATAAACAACTGAGTGTCCGTAGATTCCATGTCTGATCTGGTTTATTTTTACATAAGCCACCCATCCTTCTGATACATTAATTGAGCGAGGAAGGATAAATCTCTCTATACAAATCTGTCTTGCACTTCATCAGCAGCCACTCTCTCTTTCTATGCCACCAAAAACCCAGTGGCCCTCTCCACTGCATTATTAACAGACATCAATAAAAGAATAACAGTTTAAACAGCACTTCAAACCAGAACAACACAATTTTTTAATAGCTGAAGTGGTAGATAACCAAGTCATATCCCTATTGAATCAGATATTGAAGCCTCTGTAACACATTTTTAAATAATATTTAAGGGATTCAGACCACTTTATCACTGACCGTTTTTAATTCAAGGATAGATTTATATGCACAAGTTGCAACACTAGCTACACTATCCTTTGTAAAATGCACCATTGTCACATGGGGAGACAGGCTGTTGATTGTTACACATTAATTATGTCTAAGTTCGAAACATTTCTATAGAGGCAACTAGAATGGCAGATGTGATTTTACAATAACTAATGTACTCTCTGCTAATAGAACACCAACATGAATTGTTTTAGTAATCAATGAGCCAGAATGATAAATTCACTGATCGTGGGCCCTCAAAATATAGAAGAAGAGTAACATTGACCCCACATAATATAAACCAAATCCACAATTTAACATAATTTTGTTATTATTCAAGAAACCGCCCCTTACCCTCACTACTTTTTTATTTTTATCGATTCTGTATTTGTTTATGTAGAAAACTTGCAACTGTCTTTTTTAACTATAAATATTAAAATTAAAGCTTTTTTTCCATTGATATATTGTATTAAATTTAACATCTAGTATTAGGAAATTTCTTCTCATAGATAGTCTCAATTTATTAAAGCTTTACTCTACTTGTTACATACACAGATGGTTTGTGTCTTTTGATTTAACTTTGAGACATTGTTGTTTTATAAATGGGCAGGTTTAGCAATAACAGTTAAACCTAACTTATGGCTGGCTTTGCAAATGTCTGTCCGAGGATACAGCCCAGCAGTACCACAGGTGGCTGATAAATCACTCCTAAGTAAATTGAGGAAACAAACAGGCATCCCATTCAACAACTGTAAAAAAGCTCTGACGAAGTTTGATAACAATTTTGATCAGGTAAACAAACAAAATATTATTTTTTGTTCAAATTTAACTTTTCATGGAATTAAGCTCATATAGCCAGTAAAAAAAAAAAGATCATATTGTGTTTCAATCATAAAGTGTTAGCTATGCATAATATGACTTTGTATAATTTGTTACTAAATGTTACTGGTATCTTCAAAGAAAAAAGATTTAATGTTCTTTTTTTCCTCCCTTTCAAGGAAGTCCTATATAGTTTTAAAAATAAAAATGTTCCAATATATTTTCTTTGTCTCAAGTCTCGGGTCAATTTTACTGCGGTACTTATTAAAAAATTTTAAAAATTAATTTGATCTTTTTTTTTGTGTATAAATGTTATGTTATAGACTTATTAGAATCTCTTTTTCTAAAGGCCAAGCAATTGCTGCTATAAGAAGCACAAAAATAGGGTTGGGCTAGAGCAACAAAATTTCAAGCATGACTAATGTCTCAAGGCTTGGTAGCTGTTCTGGCTGATAACAAAGAGGCAACTATGATAGAGGTGAAATCTAATTGATATTAATTTACATGTTCTTTGCTTTAAAATCAGATGATTTCATTTGGTTCTATTTTTCCATTTCTACCCCCTGAAATTTTAAAGAGGATTTGATTTATTGTATTCATGTTATAATGTTTAAAAACAATAGTGGCTTTATTGCTCAATCTATTTTTTTTTAAATTTTGGAATCCTAACAGGTGAACTGTGAGACTGTTTTTGTAGCTCGAAATGAGAAGTTCATTTCCATTTCCATGGTTACCAAGCTAGTTCAAGAGTGTGACAGTCACTTTGGAAATTTGAAGGAAAAAGAGGTGCAATTTCAATTTCAATGTGAAATATTCAATTGATTTGTTTTTTAAAGAAAAAAAAATACCAACAGTTATTTTGATGTTTTTCCTCAAAACTCAAAATATCAGTGAAAGTAAAATTTCCCCATTTCCTACAAACATCTGCATTACAGGCTGCATACCCCTTTGTGCTGTATTATTATTATTTTCTTTTGCTGCATTTCTTTATAAGTAAATCTGAATATTTTTATTTACTTTCGTTAATGAGTTATAAAAGTTATACTAGAGGTTAAGAACATCTTTCCAGATGTTGAGTCAACTTGTGAAAATGTACACTGATTTACAACTTCAGATATTTAGTAATATACAACTTCAGATATTAACCGATTTACAACTTCAGATACGGTATACTGTTTTACAGCTTCAGATATTTACTAATATACAACTTCAGCTATTTATGGATATACAACTTCAGACATTAGTGTTGAAAAGTTATTCCAGATGTAACTTTATTGAGTTTTTTTTTGTTTTTGTATTTCTAAGAAAATTAAATTGATAACTTTTGTTTTCTATTTTTGTTTACAAGTAGAAGTATGTCTTTTACTTAGGCATGTGAGAAAAGTTACATCAGAACTAGTTTAAGCATGTGTGGGCTAAGCAAATGTCTTTCTTGATATTTTTTTAAATACCAAAAGATTTTGACTAGTAACAAATTACACAAATAAATTTGTTTTAAAAAAAAAAGCTTCATAATTTAGCAAAGATAGAATCTAAATGTATGACATTTTTGGGTTAATGGTGAATTTTTTTCACCTCACATTTCAGATAACCTTAAACAAAACTAAACTAGACCAAATCTAATGAGACAACTTTAGCAGATCTTGTGGTGCTCACTGTTGCCAGTCTTGGAGAGAACATGTCTCTAAGGAGGGGGGCATGCATCAGAGCAGGGCCTGGGAGTATGTTGGCTTCCTATGTTCATCCATCAAGTAGGTTTTCTTAATCATACAATAATAATACACACTAGTTGTTGATTGCATTTAATTGTTGATTGCATTTAATTTGTTGATTGCATTTAATTGTTGATTGTGATTACTTTAAATTCACTTTAGGCATAACATCATGTCATATAAATGTATACAATATATGATATTTCGAGCCAGGACAAGTGTGAGGAATTTACAGATTATATAACTTTTATTGATCTATTTTAATCCAGCAGGAAGCTTGATATTTCAAGCTACAGGGCAGAACTAAACTTCAAACAGCCAATTCAAATTTTTGTTTATGCATCCATTGTAACTTTTACTGAGCTTGTCTCACAGCAAAGCAGACTGATCCAAAGCAAATGAAAATGCAAACTCATAAACAAAAAAACCTAGACTCAGTGTTAACAAAAAAAGGTTTTGATGGTTATTACTTCAGCTTTTCATATTTTTTTTTTGTTTCATGGTTTTTGGTAGTCTGTTGACAGTCTTAATTCATCTGAGTTTTAACTCATCAGGTTGGCCTGTACATATTTTATTACTAAGCTTATTCATTATTTTTTGTTTTGTCTGCATATTAATTTATTTAATTTTATTATTACTCTTGACAGACTCCAGTAAATCACAGAAAAGCATATTATTAGGTAAATATGGATCCATAGTAGAAATGAAGAAGAACAACAAGGTTGAAAAACCAGTGATGTCACTCAATGACCTCAGCAGCCACATTTGTCAGCATATAGTCGGTATGAATCCTAAAACAGCCTGTGAATACATCCCGAGAGAAAATAAAAAACCTGTGGAAGAAAAGAGGTTTGATGAGGAAGATATCTTTAATGAAGATGGCTCAAGTGAGGCTGCTGTCCAAATGCAGGTCGAAGTGGAGGAAGACAAGTTGCTGAATCAAGAATTTCTGCTGGACACCACCATGACAGTCGGGGAACTTGTGTCGATCAACGGGGTGGAAATTTTGCAGTTTAGGCGTTTCGCTTGCGGAGAGGAGGTAGAAGGGGAAGCTAAAGCAGAGCAGTGAGACATTTACCAATATGGGTTAACACTTGGGGTAGACTACATAGATGACAGCTTAAAGGTTATCAGCATTATTTTGACGAGTGTTTGAGTATTTCTTAACGTAATAAAGTAAAAGTGAATGTCATGTTTAATAATGGAAGGGATGATGATGGGGGGGACAAAGCTTTTCACATATGAAAATTTGTTGGGTTTTTTTTCTTTATATTTTATTGATTGCATTAATGAGAAGTGGAAGTGTTTGAAGACAGTCATTGTTCCAATGTGCTTCTACAGCTTTATTTATTATTTGGGTAATGGCAATTCTAAGTAGATCAACTTCCATTGCCACAGCAAAGATTGTCTGTTGAGAATATACCAGTGTGATTTGAATGTTATAAAAAGATTGAGTTGATGTTTACAAGTAAGCTTAATACACAAGAAATGACCAACTATTCAATCAATGTGTGTTGTTTTTTTTGTTTTAGCCATTCAAGGCAGGTTTTGTCAATCAGTTATTTTTAATCTCTTTATTTTTTCAGAAGTATATCCATTTATGAATTTATGCTTATTTAACCCCACAAGTTGTATTTGTGAACTTTTATGTTAATTAATTGCGCCATTATGACCTCTAAGATTTTTATTTCTTCCCCACCTTGGCTAATTTACCAGCTGCCCCAAGGCCTGCTATAAGTGTAAGCAGTTTAAATTAATCAATTTAAGCATCAATAAGTTAAGATTTTTATAGAGAGTTTCAAAGCCAATGGACAGAACTTTGGGTTCAATATGTAACTCTTCTTAAATAGCATAATAATATTTGATACTGGTAATAAATAGTCTACACTTCACTGATATCAGCACAGACTGAACTTCTTTCTCGCTGCACACTGATCAAAGCATGCCAAATTTCTTTCTTGCTGCACACTGATCAAAGCATGCCAAATTTCTTTCACACTGCACACTGATCAAAGCATGCCAAAATTCTTTCACACTGCACACTGATCAAAGCATGCCAAATTTCTTTCACACTGCACACTGATCAAAGCATGCCAAATTTCGTTCTCGCTGCACACTGATCAAAGCATGCCAAATTTCTTTCTCGCTGCACACTGATCAACGCATGCCAAATTTCTATTGAAGATCACATTCACTGTAATGGTTTTCCTCTCACACACCAAAATCAATGTAGAATGGCGGAGGAACACATTCAATGTGATGGTGAACATCTCATACATCAAATCAAGGTAGAATGGAGGTACACATTCAATGTGATGGTGGACATCTCATACATCAAATTAAGGTAGAAGGGAGGAACACATTCAATGTGATGGTGGACATCTCATGCCCCAAATTAAGGTAGAAGGGAGGAACACATTCAATGTGATGGTGGACATCTCATACATCAAATTATGGTAGAAGGGAGGAACACATTCATTGTGATGGTGGACATCTCATACAACAAATCAAGGTAGAATGGAGGAACACATTCATTGTGATGGTAGACATCTCATGCACCAAATTAAGGTAGAAATGCAGAGGTACATATTCAATGTGATGGTGGACCTCTCATACACCATATCTAGGTAGGATAATGAGATATAACAGAGTAGGAGGCTGTTAGCTTTAATACAAATATAACAGAGTAGGTGACAGTTAGCTTTATTACAAATATAACAGAGTAGGGGACTGTTAGCTTTATCACAAATATAACAGAGCAGGTGACTGTTAGCATTATTACAAATATAACAGAGTAGGTGACTGTTAGCTTTATTACAAATATAACAGAGTAGGTGACTGTTAGCTTTATCACAAATATATAGAGTGGCAGAATTTCAGGATAGTTATTAAATGTACATACTTTCCACAGACCATCAGTCGGCATAGGCATAATCTCCAAAATCACCCCCACCCCCTCCCACCCCCAATATCCTGCAGTGCGTAACTTATCAATTATGGATGATAATACTAATCTGTACGTTTAGTATCGCATTTTTGCTCTTAAAATTATTATAAACTTCCTGACATTTCGCACTTTAACTTTCCATTTACCGGTATGCTCCTGTGGAGACCTGATCATTGTTGAAGATTATTGTTTTCATTAAACATTTCTTAAACAAATATAACTATAAACAATAAAAGGTTGAAAATATTTTAAAATAATATTTTACTGATCCTTAGAATCAGAAGAAAAATGAAGGATATATAGTAAGACATAATAATAAAGTTTATTTGAAAAAATCACGCTTCATCCCCAAAGGCTCGAAGCGCGGTATAAAGTCAACCATATTAAAAGAGAACTGAAACAATCTATATTTTACCACAGTAATACACAAAACGCAACACTAAAAAACTACAAACCAGCATATCCAGTCAGAGTCTTTCATCCTTGCAACCATAAACAACACAAGCCAATATACATCTAGGAGACAATAGCTAGCTGGAAAAGATGGTAGACAACATCACCCCAGCAGGTGTTTCAGACATAGATGTATTTTCAAATCAGTTTTGAAGGCTTTCATCGTCTGCCTGCAGAGGCGTAGCGTGGTGGGGGCAGGGGGGGCAGATGTCCCCGGGCGCCACCTAGTTAGGGGCGCCAAAATTTGCTTTGATATTATTTTTTTGATGAAAATAATGGGTTTGAGAGTTGAAAAAAAGAAAAAGGGGCGCTAAAAATTGATCTTGTCCCCGGGCGCGAATCTTGTCCCCGGGCGCCAAACACCCTCGCTACGCCACTGTCTGCCTGTCTCTGAGATTGGCAGGAAGAGTGTTCCAAATTGTTGGGCCAGCAAATGCGAAAGTGTGCCTTCCGTAAGTCTCAAGGCGAACACGTATGTTTAATCCTTATTTTGCTACAACAATGCTTAACTATGCAGAAGTCTAAATTTAATTAATTTATTAAAGCAAGGAAAGCACACACACACAAAGAGGGTGGGGGTGGGAGCAGAGAGAAAACTCAGAAACCAACTCAGCTCGCAGCAATTAAAATTAATTCAAATTTTAATCTCTTCAAGAGAAGTGTAACAATAAGGGATTATTTTAGTGTTCCGACATAAGGGACACTACCCCTTAGAAATAAAATTAAAGTTTAGTATGACGAATCACCTCCTCTCAAATGTACAAAATCTGTAGCGTAACAGAGTGGGGGTGATGGAGGTATGTGTAGCGTAACAGAGTAGTGTAATGCTTGCGAAATATGTAGCGTAACGGAGGAGTGGGGTGATGGTGAAATATGCAGAGTTACGTTGACCGTGCACTGTAACATCTAAATGTTACATAGACACCCTGCACAATGAGACATGTAGTTATTGAACTAACTGCAGTGGTCAAGTTACATAGACACTCTGCAAAATGATACCTGTGGTTATTGAACTAATTGCAGTGGTCAAGTTACATAGACACCTTGCACAATGAGGCATGTGGTTATTGAACTAACTGCAGTGGTCAAGTTACATGGACACCCTGCACAATGAGACATGTGGTTATTGAACTAACTGCAGTGGTCAAGTTACATAGGCACTCTGCACAATGAGACATGTGGTTATTGAACTAACTGCAGTGGTCAAGTTACATGGACACCCTGCACAATGAGACATGTGGTTATTGAACTAACTGCAGTGGTCAAGTTACATAGGCACTCTGCACAATGAGATATGTGATCATTGAACTAACTGCAGTGGTCAAGTTACATGGACACCCTGGACAATGAGGTATGTGGTTTTTCATCATATTGTTGTTGTCAAGTACTTACGTGGACTAGAGTCGGTCAATAGCGCATACTGTTTATAAAGCAACTTGTAAAAAAAAAAGAACAATATGTGAAAAATTATCTTTCTTGTTAAATACTGTTAAGGATATCAACGTGTTTTTAAATGTTGCTGTACTAAGCTGACTAAGTTTGGAAGTGAGTGTCGAAATGAAATGATTGGCTGAATGTGGTGGTTGAGGTGTGTGATTACAATCGGTGTTTTTAATGTTCCAGTACTAAGCTGACTAAGTTTGGAAGTGAGTGTCGAAATGAAATGATTGGGCTGAATGTGGTGGTTGAGGTGTGTGATTACAATTGGTGTTTTTAATGTTCCAGTACTAAGCTGACTAAGTTTGGAAGTGAGTGTCGAAATGAAATGATTGGCTGAATGTGGTGGTTGAGGTGTGTGATTACAATCGGTGTTTTTAATGTTCCAGTACTAAGCTGACTAAGTTTGGAAGTGAGTGTCGAAATGAAATGATTGGGCTGAATGTGGTGGTTGAGGTGTGTGATTACAATCGGTGTTTTTAATGTTCCAGTAATAAGCTGACTAAGTTTGGAAGTGAGTGTCGAAATGAAATGATTGGCTGAATGTGGTGGTGGGGGTTTATGATTGAAACTGGTGTTTGTGTTGGGTGGAAAGTGGGGGGGGGGGGAAATCGTGATTCGGAGTGTAAATGGTGTCTCCTCATTGTTCATTAATCTCATTTTAATCATTAAAGGGAATTAACAATTCAAAGCTTGTTCGATTACTCCCCTTAATGTATATTTATTTTTTTTTTAATATATTATAAAAATTAAATAAACTTTCCATTGGTAACGTTCGTCCTGGAACCTCTAGTGCAGATAACAAACAAAATTTTACGAAAATGCTTTTCATTTTTTACAATTATCAAAATAATTTGGGTAAATTTAAAATGTTAATTTAATGTGTTTTAAAATGCAGGAACTAACAAAAAGAAGAAAAGGCCGAGAATGAACTTGGGATAGACACACACCAAATTTAAATTTAAAAAATAGTTGTAGTACAAGGCATAGTTTATTTTATTTTTATTTAAAGTAATTTTCCTGTTTATTCCATTGAATATATATTTAACTTCATTCTTTCATCTCGTACATGAAAACGATTACTGTATCGGTGAATTTACCAAACGCAGTGATAATTCTTAAAATAAATTTTATCTATATTATGAGATGGCAAAGTTGAAGGTGTGTGGGCCAAGTTAAACGTGGGACAAGCGCGGTAATCACGAAGTTGAGACCGTAACCTTGACCATGGCAACGTCTATCAGGTTAAAACCCTTGATAGAGTTCATCAACACTCGTGGGTCCCAAGCTCGGTCGAGTTGTTATAGGTTTGAGGCGGAGGGGAGATTGCAGTTTTCGGTTGCTCCCAAATTGAACTCCATTATTTGTGTACATTT